TGTATGGCAAATGTGTGACTTCATGCAGCTTGTGCTCTCTCTCTCTCTCACTTGGCTGCGCTGGCGCGTCCACAAACCTTGGCTCTGGGTTCAACCGGGCATAGTCTTGCCTGGCAACTTCCAACGCTCGTCTCTTCAAAGCCATCTCATAGGAATCTCTGATGCGATTGGACGGTTTTCACTTAGAACCTGAAGTAAGTCTTTCACACTTGAACACTCTGTAAGCTGCATTTCTCCAATGAACAATGCGTCTTCTGGTCCGCCTGGCCGCCTGGCACAAACGACGGTGACATGGTTGGAAACTCCGGAATGTCTTGTCCAACTTCCTCTGCACCCTCTTGCTCAACTTCAACCATCTCATTTTCCGGCTCAGCCTCTGCTTTCTCGAGAAATCGCTGCGACGCTTCACATCCACAATTTGCCAGCCTTCATGGGTCCGCAATTTTCTGATTCATAGTTGTCCTGCATGCGAATTTTGCAGACCACACGGCACGAGGGTCAGCATAGCGCACACCTACAGTCTTCATATTATGTGGACGATTGTTGCTCACGTGCCAACTTCCATGGGGCATGTCTGACACATGGGTAGGGCTTAATCGAATCGCTGCCCTCACCTCACACGTTACCTCGAAGACACGACAGACGCTTGCCTCTTTTACGAATGAATGGCGTTGGAACACCACTGGAATTCGAGCTTGCTGATCTGGTGATGCCAGCATTGGATTGGGACCGCTCTGCTCAATCGTCCAACCTGATTTGCACAACTCTCCCAATGACAATATGCGATTGATCACATTTCCAACAACAAAGTGGTGCCTGACGCCAATCTCTTCTCCGGTGTTGGAATCATGGGCAATAAGTGTTGCTTCCTGTGAGCCAACAGTTTTCAACTGGGATCCTTGGCAATCTTGTAGTCTGACATTGGAATGACCGGCCTCTGAAGCGTAGCTGGGCGGTAGCAAGGAAACGTCTCAACCACTGTCCAAAATCGCAACACTGTGACATGTCTCCGCTGCACAATCCTCTGAAAGATCTTGAAAGATCACTCTCGCAGAACTGTCCAAGCTACCTGCGATCGAAGATGGTGGACTAATGTGGAAAATGCAACGAACAGCTGTATTCAATGTTGAAGCCGTTGAAGCACCGCCACTAGCAACACTTGTTGTCCCTGAAGTCTGTCTTTGTTGTAGCTACTGTTGAGGTTGCTGTTCGTGACTTGTTGAGCACGTTGGGGACAATCTCGACTCCAATGACCATATCCAAAGCAACTTCGACATTGGTTTTGACCAATGTTGTCACCTTTCTTTCCACCATTCTTCCCTTTCTGCTTGCCTTTGCTCTTTCCACCTTTTTTGCCTTTCTGTTTTCCTTTCGACTTGCCACCACGACCGAAACCTTTGCCTTTGCGTTTGGGATAGCCGCGTCCTCCTCCATAAGGAAAGCCTGACCACCAGTCCAAGCTGGCTTAACGCCTCAACGTGGTCAGAGCGACCAAAGCTTTTTTGAGGTTCGTTGGAACCTGTCCCACTCTTAGGTGCACACACAACGCATACATTCAAGCGAGGCGAGGTCCCTAGGTGCTTCTAGTGAGGTTTGGTTTCATCTGTTCTCGTCCCCTCCATTTGGTTCCCCTTTCATCCTTTCCCCTTCACACACTTCTGTTTTCTTCTTTTCTTTCATGTCCTCCTGTCTTCATGTTTTGTCATCTCATCCTTTCCTTTGTTTGCGTGTACATCGGTCCTGTCCTTCGTGTGTACGTGCACATCTACTTATCCAGGTTTTAGGTCGCCGAGGTCTCGACAATGAGGTGGGGTTCATCGGTTGTCCCTGTGCACTTGGTTTCTCTTTCATCGCAACCACACACACTTTTGTCCCGTCTCGTCCTCCTTCTCATGTCCTCATCCTTTTTTTGTCTTTGCTGCGCGCGCATTTGCACATTCGTCCTAGCCTTAATTTTTTGCCTCCCCTCCGGGAGGCGTGTGTGTGTGTGCCCCTTGAATCACAGGGATCCACTTGGATTGTGCTGCTTGTCCTTTTTGCTTTTTGCTTATAGCAGGGGAGTGCGGCGTGATTGTGGGACCGCACTCAACGAAGCTACCACAATCACGGGATACCGAGTCTGATCAACTCGGCGTACCCGCAAGTTTTAAATCTTTGGTAAAGTGCTAATGCATCAGCAGTCACGCATAGGGCTTTGGTTTCGATTTGCAGCTGTGAGCGGACGACGTCATTCTGTCGATCGATCATTCGATGGTCTCTCTACATTTGATGGCCACGCTGAACTTGAACTCGATGGACCTCCACTTCCTTTTCAGGTCTCCTTACCTGTAACCTTGGGAATTGGTAACCTAGGCCGGCGTGTGGCACCGCTTTCAGTTCAGTACGCATAATCATAAGTGTGTGTGTGCGCGCGTGGTCCTGAAGCCGGAATCAAAAACTCCTTCTGGGGATTGAAAGCTCCTGGTCTAGAAGTCAGCTAATGCCCAAGCCACTCCACCATCATGAAAATTGCGTTGCTCTGCACTAAATCGTACGAATCCCAAACACGAGCAGATTGGCCATCAGCAAAAATGAAGATGTGGTCCATCTGCTTCCGTCTCGTGAAATAAGGCTGCGAAAACAAGTATTTCAAGAGCGGATCCCAAATTACAGTTGCTGCAGCTTCATCATTTTCCAAATTCTCCTTCGCCCAGCGCGATTTGTGCGTTCAAAACACTGCTACAAACACCAAAACCTGCTTTCCGACACAGTGAGTGGGCTGGAACAGTGTTGAGCTCATGACAAATTGGATAACCTTGTTGCTCTCTCACAGCCTCTCCTTGGTAAATAGGCAGGTGCTGTAGACAGGCACCAAAAAGAAGTCCGCCTCCTCTGGTTCCAATGTCCGGCAGGATGAGCTTAGTAGGTAGCGATGGAACAACACTTCTGTTCCCCATTGGCCCAGGGCACAGTCCAATTGCTTCTCTGTGAGCGGTGCTGGAACTTCATAGACCTCACCACCGCGCTGACGGCCGACGGCTCGTCTCGATTTGGGTTTAAATTGTTAGTGAATGTTAGTGAGATCCTTCCATATCCTTCGACCATATGTTTCCATAATGGTCATTCTTAAAGTCACAGTCCAACAAACAATGCAAACATTGCTCGTTTTGTGGTGCATATTATCCTGTCTTTTGCTGCAAAATTAAATCACTAATTGACTGTTGTTGTTTCCCACCGACATGAGCCATGCCACGTAGATCTTCAGAGCAAAGCCGTGGCAATCGTGGTGGCGACTTCCAAAAAGCAAAGGATAGGTGTAGATGGTGTCATTGGCCCATTCAGCACGCAGCTCTGAAACATCTTGAAGGCCTGCCTCCTCCAGCTGTTCTGCCAGTTTGGTCGCAAGCTCAAAAAGTCCTCTCATGAAAGAGTGCATGAGTGTGGATCAGCGCATATTGATTTTGCACAGACGTATGCATAAAACGACCCGAAGAAACCGAGAAGCTCCAAGTCTTCAAGAGGTTCAATATAGCGGCATTCCGACAACAATTTGCACTGATTTACATTCACGCTTGTGACTGGTGACTGGGTGTTGCTCCAGCAGTTTTATATAAGTCTGAAGATTGAAGCGTTCTCCTCAACGCCCCATTAGTATCCAGTAGTGAGGCTTGCCTTGTCCATCTTCAACAGAGTAGTCCACAGACGAGGCCAGCACAGAATCCATCATGATCTGCAACAGCGGCAAGGGGCAAAGCTGCAGGTTCTCCTAGCAGCGGAACAAAACAGCATTCAGCAACGTTTCGTATGCAAAATATGACAAACTGAAGTATGAAGGAATGAGTTTTCTCCAAAATACGATTCCCGACATCTCAAGACCCATTCCCTCACTCCCGAGCTGGGGATTTGATCGGCCCGGCCCGGCACCTCCAGCTTGGGAAGGATTTTGGGCTCATAGATGCCATGCCTTGGAATGGATACTATATCAGCAATGCGGGAAACTGTTTGGGGCGCCATGAGTCCCAAGCTTTTGCGGCCATGCAGCAAGAATTCACGGGATCTGGCCAGGCTGTCCTCAAGTAATTAAGTGGCATGAGGAATACACATCGGACACTGTCCACCTGGAGTGCAACAATGATGACACCAAAGTGGTTATCCACGCTAGCTTGAAGACCTGAAGAGGAAGAGGTCATTGGAGGGTTCTTGTCTCTGATTAATCATACCGTATCATACCCCTGCACCTTCAATCGTAAAGTCTTGTCGTGGGTGAATGTCAATTGCGTGATGGAAAGTTCTGATGCTTTTGGCCAAAAGTCCCGCAAATAGGCCGCATGCCACGTCTCATATTGCTGGAAGAACTCTTCAGGAAGCCCTGCCTCTGGAAGACCGCCTGTTCGGGAGGGCGGCGTCTTCGGCGATTTACTGTAAATAGGTAAATAAACTAGCAAATAATATATATATATATACTACATATGCACACTTGAATCTATGCTCAAATTTTGGATGTGTTTGAGGCAGTTTGAGACCTGTGAATCCTGTGATGTTGGGCAAACATCTCCGGAGTGAACCTGCGCATTGAAGAGAAACTGCTTCCGCGCTTGACACTGCCAGGAGAGGGAGCCGCCATGGCATGGAAAGGTGGGAAAGCCTGTGCAACCTAGGGAACTGCCAATTGGTCTAGGTCTCCGCAGCGAGCTACGGAGGTGGTGCCTAAACATTTCTCGACTGATGGCTACCATTACCTTCCTGAACATTTCGCAATGGCCGCTTGAGTTGGAGCAATGGCTGCTTTGTCTTGAACAAGTCACGTGCTATTTGAGCAATGAATATCAATATATATATATACAATATACTAATATATATATATACACTATATACATGTATATACATCTATATATATATATATACTAAACACCGTTATACTATATTATTAAAGAAATATATATATAAATATATTATCAATGAATCACAGGTTCAAACAGTTCATGTTTGACGTGGACTGGTCGTCTGAGATCGTCTCAGTCCTCGAGCGTGGCGGGTCTCTTCTTCAGCAATGTTCAGCTTGACAGTCAAGCTCTGAAGCTTCCACTCCCTCAGTGATTGCGATTGGAGGGACGGAGAGCTTCAGCTCTCACAACCCTTTCCTCACGTCCATCTTGAAGCAGCTCGGCAGGGTGTCCTCTTGTGAGAACACCACACTACTGAGTCACTACTGAAATCCACTCACCAAATCTGCCCAGGACACGCTTCATTGAGTTCCTCGGGTCGGAACTGCAAAAACATATTGCACTGCTGAGGTACAGCAAACTGTAGGTGTCTCGATGAAGATAGGCACTTATATGCACTTATATAAGTCGCATCTAGATATTTTGGGCGCATGGCGTAGCTGCGAGGCTGCCGGCAGCTGTTGCTAGAGTGGTTCTCTCCTGAACCCCTGACTCCTTGGAACGGGTGACTTACGATCTTTTTGAAAACGCCCCACATCCGCATAAACCACACCATGAAAAATCGGCGTTAATTAAAACTGACGCCTTGGGCAGTGCCAGTGGCATGTCATGTCGAATTGGCGGCCAGTCTTCAAACTCAAGCCCCAACTGATCACGCCAGCTGAACCCGGGCATTTGCCCAGGCACTCAAGTCTTAAGTGAAAAAGGTTGAGACATTCAGAATTGTCAACATATGTCAACATCTCTCAGCCATCCATGCTGCTCCATCTTCCATACACGTCGTAGTGGCTTTGACCTCCTCTGCAGTCCATTCGATTCCCTTAAAGGAACCTGGCAGGCAGAACAGCAGCTCAGCGTGGTACACGCCATCGTAGAGCCTGAGTCCACACAAGGTGACGCACGGCTGTCGACGGCAAACAGCAAGCCTTAATTTTCACACATCTGAACTTAGAAGAGCGGCTTTAGTGTTTTGTCCACTGTCGTGGACTCCTTGTAAAGCCTCTTGGAAGTTTCAGGGTCCGTGATTTTGTCGGCATTCCCGTGCATGATGATAAAAGGAGTCCGCATTTCAGACAAGTGTTCGTCGAGCCAATCTGGGTAGGTAAAACCAAATTCTCGACCTCATACAGGCCGGACGAGACTGTATCTGCACAATCTGCAGCACTCTGGGCACTGTGGCAGAAGTGCAAGCTGTGAGCATGAAATCCACCTTTAGTTGGGAGGGTCTTCTCCGTTCCGTCTCGTCATTTAAGATGTTTAAAACATTTTTCATGTACTTATCATCCATGCTCTATGCAGGACGCTACTAGTAGCTCCTGGCATTACTACTAGTAACACGAAGCTACTAGTAACAAGGGCATCGCTACTAGGAGGAGCAAGAAGCCTGGCATCGCTACTAGGAACCCGGGCATTGCTACTAGTAACTAGTAGCAAGGACGCCATATGATTCGAGGTCTCTCTCTCTCTCTCTCTTTTAGGCCGCCGCGCCTGTCCCAAGCCGCGGCGCGAGCCCCATCCTTAGGGCCATACGCCGTTGACGGCATCTTTTTTCCAATAAATACCACACAAAGCGCCTTTGAAGAATTGTCAATTGAACTGGGTTCCGGAACTGGGGAAACCCGCCGAAAAGCCCAGACACCATATGTTTTTTCCTCCGGACCAGGGGAAACCGGCAAAAGACCGGCCTTGGTCAAACATCTGCTGCCCCAAGGGTCATTGAAAGAGGATTCTCTTTCAGCAGCTGCTCTCCGTGATGTGATTCACGGAAGTCATATGCTGACAGCTCCTCAGCTGGTTTGCGAATGTTTGGACATGTTTGGACTTACCTCCGTGGTCCAAAATGATTGATGGCTTTGGGTGTCTTGGTAGCCGCACGCTGAAAGCTGCTACCCACACAAATGCCACCGTACCCTTGCAAAAGCAATGAGAAAAGCAAACTGTTGCACATGTGGCGAAAATCTACTTGGGCTCTTGAAGAAATTGATCTCAGCCTCCAATGTGCAACGAGCTTCTTTAACGGGCGTGATTGGCCATAAGGGAATGAGGGGCGCAATAATCCTCTTGAAGACTTGCTGAACAATCCACGGCGGTTTCAGCTCATCACTGACGGTAAGCATGGGGCATAAGAGAATGGCACCTGTCAACACCGACCGAGCAACGCAGCAACACAACATATCACAGGGTCCAGCATCGCCCCAGATTTGTCCCTCGCCCACCTTGAAAGAACTTGGGCTGCTTCAAGCACAGGCAAACAGCCAGGCCACCACCCAAAGAGGCTCCAGAAACAAAGGTCGGAAGTGAGCCGCCAGCTTCCTGGCATTGGAGTGCGTGCGTGAGCGTGATGTTCTGAGCAAACCGGCAATTGGCAAACAACCGACAACTCCACAAATGCACATGCAAGTCGCTTAACTTGAGCTACTTGAGTGTTCTACTATTACTAGAAGCAACGGACGCTACTAGGGCCTGGCATCGCTACTAGGAGCAAGGACGCTGCCAGTAGCTCAGGGCATCGCTACTAGGAGCAAGGACGCTACTAGTAGCTCCTGGCAT